TAAGTTCTTCCCGAAAGATACTGGGACGCTTCAATTCCAGGACAAGCAGGATGTGTATTTTTACTCTGCAAGTGAAAGAAATACAATTAAAATGTGAAAAAGATACTATATTGTAGGAATAAAGTTCTCTTATAACAGTCGGAAAAAATCCGGAATACCTGGCAACTATGTGGATTCGAGGTCACACTTTACTAGGAACAGAATTTATTTTGAAATTCATTTATGACGTTCTGAGAGTAAATATAGTTTAGATAACTTTTTCAAATTAACAATAGCAAAGCCGGATCTTAACACCCACAAAATCTGTGTGTAAATGTAATATTCTCAAATGACATTCATGTTTTAGAATTAATAATATATCTAAACTTGATTAGTCATTTGAGAAAACGAGAATGTATTGAGCACACAGGTTATACGGAAGTAAAGATTTAGTGTAATAATAATACCTTGAATTGTTATATAAATTTGTAAATCATGACTTTAATAGCGATTTTAAAATGATATGATATTTATTTTAACTATTAGAAATTCCCCTGTCAAGCATGAGGGCATACTTTTTATGAGAAAGTAGAGATTGAAGAATTGAGAAGAGTAAAGGTTTCAAGAAATTAAAGAAGTGTTGCTAATATTTCTACAAATTAATTAGTTTATTCTCTCTGTTGTAACATAAAGCAGCAAGACAAAATTTCACCTGGTCTGAATAAAAACAGTAGGAGTTATAGAGAATTCATTTACACACACTTGAAAAGATTTAGGTCTTTATATTAAAATAATATGAAAATCTTTCTTTATACACTACATTCTACTTCATATTAGAGTTCCCCAACCTTATATTCTAGTAATCGTGATACTATTAAATTTTGGTAGTTAAAGGTGGAGAGGGTGAGGAGATAAAGGGGTGTCATGTGTCATATCTCGAGAGGGGTAAGTCTTAATGAAGATTTTATTTATTATTCACATTTGCATATTTTAAACAAAACTCATCCCTACTCTCAAAATTAAGCCTTTTACCATTTTATAGTAATTAAAAATATAAAAAGTTTTTATAACAAAATCTCATAACAGATGGCGCCACACGCAATTTTATTCATTGTANGGTATACAAGATTATTTGGAATACTATCCGATACGTTCTTATTTTAATAATTTACTCTCATTATTCATATAAAATTACTTACGAATAATGTATTTTCTATGTTTTAAAATGTTTAAAAGCTATATTGTTTAGTGATCTGTTTCATTTACTGTAATGGAAAAATCTGAAAAGGTTAAAAAGTAAATGAAAAATTTTCCCATATTTTATTGTCTATCGCATTTCTCATTCACTTAAATATTTGCATCTCTTATCTATACAGTCAAACAGATAGTATGCATACTCATGTTATAATCTATTTTATATTTAAACATTTATATAATATATATAAAATAGATTACTTAATTTACTTAGAATTAATTCAACTTTTCTTTTTCCACAAAAAGTAATTGAGAATTATGATAATGCAGTTTTAATCTTTGAACAATATTAAAACAATTTAACATTTTTTAAGTTAATTTCAACTATTTTAAATATAATGTAATTGTAAAGCAAACACTTTTTGAATTAATTGACTTTTTTTCCCTTTTCACTTGTACTTAAAACAGTTTCCCAGAATATAGAATATTTGTTTATTCTAATGTAAATTATTAAAAATCAACGCTTTATATGGTGGATATTAAAAAAATTGCTGCTTATAAATTCCAAAATGAGTTCATTTTTTTTCTGCACTTTATGGATGTTCTCTAGTAGTTAACGCTTTTGAAAAAAAATATCTGGATATATTCCACTGCTTCAGTACAGTATTTATTAAACATCCTTATAGTACAGTACATGTAGGCCTATAGGACATAGTCTAATAGTCTAACTGTAGTTCGTTTGTAAGGTGAAATATTTCGTCTATAAGCGATGGTACGAAGATTCTTTCAGAGTCCCTCATTATGGTCTGTGTACTTGCTGTCGCCATTGTTTTTTTTTGGACATATTTTTCCAAATTCGCTTGAAGGAATTTTAATGAATGTAAATTCTTCCAACATATAAAAGGCCGGATGAATTTATTTTGAATTATTTTAATGGATGTCATGTATAAAGTCGTAGATGTATGAAAACATTGATTCTTGTTTTTGTTCAAATCATTATTTAGACAAAGTTGATGTTATCAATACAGTATAACTAATTTCGAAAATTCTTATTTTTGGTTGAATTGCTTAATTTATCCTATGGAGTCTAAACAACTTTCATTTAGAATGATATGACATTTGAGATTGTACTTATTGCTAAAAAACATTACGCACCCAGACAGAATTTCCCAATTACTACAAAACTTGGTATAAAGCTATATCTCGACAGGTATGTAAACGATTATAGTTGTGGTCCGATTGCACACCAGGTAATGTCAGCTGAGTGCCTTAATATCGCTACTCAACTACCCTATAAAAAGCTGGCAGAGTCTATGTTCAGAATTTTCAGTATACCCATTGTTTGGAGGTCTTTGAACGCCAGACATGCAGCAAAAGGCCTTGCCCATAGCCGGTGCCATAACTAGGCAGGTGCAACAGGTGCACTCGCACAGGGCCCACTTGGAAGGGGAGTCCAAAATGCATATATTTGTTTTATTATTTTTCCAAACCTAATTAATTAAGGGGCCTAATTGCAAATTCTTACACAGGGAACAGGAATGGCTAGTTACGGCACTGCCCATAGCTAACGGAATTTAACAAAGTCCACATCATTGGACTGAGGAAAGCAAGATGCCCGATAACTGGTATTTTTTGAGAAGAGGTAATGACACGAAAAACATACTAAGGTACACATACATAGTGGCCAGACTCTGAACGCCTCAGACAGACCAGCAAGATAGATAATCGTCTGATAATTGCACAGGCGTGAATAGATGCAACACGCATCTTTGTCCATCATCCAGAGATATCCAGACAGGAGCATCCAGAGACAGATGGAAGTTTCGTCACAAAACCCTGTCTCTTCTAATATTGGCATGCGACTGATACGCTGATAAATGTTTTGCTATTGGCAAACCAACAAACTGCCTTGTTACAGTTTGGAAGACGACATTAACACTGTGTACGTCTACTTCGTTGAGCAACTTTTTTGTCAATGAGTGTATATAGGACTACATTTTGAATATATATATATATAGAACACAATCATCGATATAAAGCATAATGTTATCGCACACTATATTCTTATATGATATCATTGATGATATTATATATACTATTTAATTATAACGTCATAATTTATTTATTTTTTAATTTTAATATCTAAAAAAATAAGAAAAAACACACAAAAGGGGGATGTTTTTCTGTTTTTCAGAATTAAAAAAATATTCCCTACATCTGATTTTATTATTAATCGCAGTCACCATATAAACTTTCATTTATTATTTGGATGAATATTTCACAGATGTATTTAGTTTTGAATTGTTAAAATTGTTGATATTCATACTAAGTAATAAATTACTATAATGTTGCATTGTTTTATAGAGTGAATATTTAATAAACTGAATATGTGTATTCAATAATTTAATACTGTATATATTTGCTAAATGCTCCTTCAGATAGCATAAAATTTAAACTGCGATACATCAATTGCATGGATTGACATTAGACCCAGATTTAGGTCTATGTACTGTACAATACAATAGTATTTCTTGTGTACTCGTATGCTATTTGACAACATTTTTTTCTACATCTCAGCCTGAAACATTTAAGTTTCAAATATAACTAAATGATTTAGATTACAATATAATTAAATTACTAAAAGTCGTAAGTTCCTATATTTCATATAATAGGAAATAAAGAAGACTTTGCTTTCTAGTAATATAATAGAATAGGAAATACATGTGGTCTTCTTTGTTTCGTAATAAATGAAGTAAAGGCTAAGAGAAAAACATCAAGGACAACTTTAATAAGAAACAAAGTCCCATAAAGTAGATAATTAATAATACGTGTTCGATTCTTATCAAATATAATCATTAAAACCCCGAACTTGGATTTTTCTTTAGAACATAACAGAATGTTTATTTTTTATTTTTTCGTATTTATTATATAAATAAAACAAATTTATTTCATTTTTTTATTAATGATAATCTTCAATAATTATATAGTTTTTATATAAATTAGAATTAAAAAAGAATAGTGAAAAAATAATGATAAATTAAAAGAAAGTTTATTAATTTAATAAAGAAAAAAAAAAATAATAATAAACTTCTTAATTTAAATGTTTGAAAACAGAATTTTTAAAATAAGATTTATATACAGAAATCTACAGTAAATCATTGGTATTAGATACTTTAATATCTTCAATATTTTTAAATATACGTAATTAAATTAGATAAAATTTGCTTATTTTTACATATAAAATTTAATTAATGGATCCGAATTCTTAATTAAATTATGAAAGGTCATTCAGACAATTTTTAATATTAAGCGAGAATTTTCGTTTTCTCTAATATATTAATTAAAATTCCTATATTTATTACCTTAAAATTGTCAAAACAAACATTGTAAAAGTTAACAAAGTTATCAGAAAGTAAATAATTATTGGTAATTGTATTTTGTACTGTGAAGAAATTAATATTAAGAATTATTGATATATAAGCTACAAAACAAACTAATGGATCTATCAGTTGCATTTATAATATAAATATATTTCTCTTAAGATAAAAAAAAAAAAAAAAAAAAAA